AAGCAGTGTTCAGTAAAAGGAGGGCCACCTCCTTACCTCCTCATTGCCCTTATGACTGCGCCATTGAGCTACTCCCAGGAACCTGTCCCCCCAGAGGTCGTATATTCTCTTTGTCTCCCCCCGAACGAACTGCTATGGACAGATACATTAACGAAGGCCTTGCGGCAGGTATCATCCAACCATCCACTTCCCCTGCTGGAGCTGGATTCTTTTTCGTTGGGAAGAAGGATGGCGGACTTCGGCCGTGTACTGATTACAGGGGCCTTAATAAGATAACTATTCGAAACCGCTATCCCTTGCCACTAATGGCTACTGCCTTCGAAATCCTGCAAGAGGCCTCCATCTTCACTAAGCTCGACTTGCGCAATGCTTACCATCTTGTGCGCATCAGACAAGGAGATGAATGGAAGACCGCCTTCAACACGCCCACTGGGCACTATGAATATTTAGTTATGCCCTTTGGTCTCACTAATGCTCCTGCAGTATTTCAAGCTCTCATCAATGACGTTCTTAGAGACATGCTCCATTCAATATATATATATATATATATATATATATTATTTCATTTCCATTGTGTGTTGAAGTACTGAAATAACTCAAATTAAATAAAACTAAAACTTAATAAAAAACCTATATAGACATAATAAAAAACGAATGAAATGACAACATTACTACAACTGTAACTAAAACTTAAATAGATAACTAATACAAATCAAACTACATTAGTTTATCAGTAATCCTAAAAAAAATAACACTGATATATAAACACAAATAAAAAGCGATACTTATTAAATACACGTTCTGGGCTGTGTATTTAAGCTGGTCACTTCCTTTGTATCTTTGCTTGGTTATTGTTGTTCCTAAGCCAGTTGCTGCCGTAAGTCTGCTCTAGTTCAAAGAACTATACTTTGAAAGCTTTTTGGATTGTTTCCCTGTGTTTTAATTTGGCTGTTTTGTCTTTTTCCTGCGTTTTTGTTTTAGAGGTTATTGTTCTCCTTTTGGATCCTTTTTGGACTGAAGATTTTTCTGTTTTGTGGCTTTCATTAAGGAAAGGATTTTTGTACCCTTTCTGCTGTTTTTTGTTAAATAAACTCTTCTGAGTTAATTTAAGAACGCATCTGACTATTGGGTTCAACTGCCTCCTGTGGCTCAGTGGTGGAAATTAAGACTCTTGCGCCAGAGACCCTAATTCGAGCCCCGGCGCTGACAATTGGATGCGTTCCCCACAAACGTCAGCGACACAACCGGAGAGATAGGGAACATACATACGTAACGAAATGATGTGTACTGCGTGCCATGCATTAGCATGGTACTAGCATGCTGCTAGACAAAATTTAGTGTGAGTTAGAGGAGTCTTGGCCTATTTGAGCATTCTGCCATTGTAAATCTAAGGCACTAATCTATAATAGAGAACTGGATTGCTCATCACGTCATAAAAGAGAAGCCACAGTGCCGCTATACTGGTATTCCCGAGTATTCCAACACATTTTATTGAATTAATAGGAAATTGTATTATTTTAAACTATGAGACTACTATAAATTATGAGAAAACATCACCTAACGAGTAAGTGTTTTTATATCTGACGTATCCCTGTACATTCTTACAACGCAAACCTGAAAATAGTTATTTGTTTAATGTCGGGAATTTCCCCATATTGAAAAGTTACTTATCACATTCATTACAGTAGTGAACATCAGATGAACATGATGAACATCAGACAGATGAGATCCTCAACATATATATATTACAAATGCTCATTCTGAAATATGAATAAAAATGTATGTTTTGTATGTGCATATACGTTAATTTACCTTTTACAGTTAGCCTATTCACTGTTTATGTAATTATGTTGTTTTATTGTTTTTATTCACACGGTATGATAAATGTAAATGTTTCAACAATGATTTCGCTAACAGCATGCATTTTGAAGCAGTTAATGATTTAAACATTGGTTAAATTAATAATTAATTGAACATGCATAACATTTTACTCCTATTGAAATTGTAATGTTAGTAAAAAACCATTTGCGCAATCTTGTAGAGTCTGAAATAGATGTTGCTCAATCAGGAAAAAAAATACATGCTTTATAACATCATTCAAATAAATAACACTGACAACATACGGTATGGACTTAAAGACATGAAGCTTTATTTCTAAGATGACGCATGGTAAGCTTTGAATTTCAATACAATATAGAGCAATATAGTAACAGAGGCTTGTATTGTAATATTTATTGTAAATTTGAATACATTTCTGAAACTAATACCAGTTATATGTTCATGTTTATTATTTCGTGCATAATTACGTACATAAAGAAATGTATTTTGTGTTGGATCAGTTACCTGTGCCAGCAAGTGTGCAGCTGACGCATCTTAACGATTTCAATATATCGCTTATCCTGCCCGAAAAGACCACATTGCAGATAATGAGCAATCCAATCATTATATAGATCAGTGGCCTAGGGGAATTTTGGCCTCTTTGGAAATCTGCTACTGGAATTCCATAAGCTGGATCATGTAGGGATTTCTATCCATAACAGACACTGATATGCCATGAGGACTGGAAAGGTTCGTTCACAACATATAGAAACCACGATGTCTTGTGACCACCAATGAATGTAACTATTATATTCAAACAGGAAAAGAACAGAAATTTAATCACGCCCTCAGGCCTGTAAGCACGGGATCTATGCATGACTATCACATGTTTGACAATCTGCTTCCTGCCCTGTCTGAAACCCTTACAAAACTTCTCTGACAACAAAAGAAACAGAACCTTGCATGACGATTTTAACAGACAATCGTTTAAACTCATAAGTAGTGAAAATGTATCCACTGTATGTGTTATGCCGTATATATATATTTGATGTGTTTATTGAAACCATGATATCTTAATCACCACCTTATAACTTTTCTTTTTAGTTATTACGATTACTGTGTATGCAAAATACCTGTTGTTTGAGCTTGAATGAAAGCTTATTTTATTCACATACCCATAATCAGATGGTTAAGATACATGAACATTAACGGCTTGCTGGACGACCGTTGATAAGGTGTAAACCATTAAAATTTGAAATCAGTTCTAATCAGGTGGACCTCGAATTTTCAGATCCGAGTCCTTTCAAAACCTGAATGAATTAATAATAATTAATTCCCTAAAATTAAGTAATCAAGACATTACATATGGTGGAGAAAAGAAAGCTGGCAGATTCGACTCAAAAATTAATGACACCAAGATAGTATTATAAATCCTGTCTATTTTTATCCGGAAAAATATATTAAAAGACAAAGAAACTGAGTTTGTTGTGTTACTATTTTATTATAGCATGGCAGAGCGTGTTGAATGAAGTGAAACTCGAGTTTGTTGTTTAGAATTTAACTGCAGTAAAACATTTAATTTTGTCCACCGAGACAAAAGAAGTCGCTCTAAAGCGCATGGACAGAGAAGCAAGCGTGTTCCTTGTTCTCCTGTCTTCTAAAAAGGCCTCAGAGTGTAATTTGTATAAGTGCGTGTTCCACTTCAAAAGGGTGAGCGCGACAAAGCGCTCCCATGCCGTAACATCGCACAAGCGAGACTCCAGAACTCAAACACTTCAGTTGACCCTTCGCGATCTTCAAAGAACTTAAAGCCTTGCAAACAGAGACTTTTCAGCAGAACTGCTCAAGCCTCTATGTCATCAAGAAAGCAACCAATCCAACGAGGGCTTCCCCAAAAGGAGGTCATCCTAACGTCATTCCGGCGCCAGATCAACAGCCAATCAGCAATGGAATCCCCTCCAGTAGCCATGAGGAACTTCTCAGATTTCAGCAAACTGGACGACCGTTGATAAGGTGTAAACCATTAAAATTTGAAATCAGTTCTAATCAGGTGGACTTCGAATTTTCAGTTTCGAGTCCTTTCACAACCTGAATGAATTAATAATAATTAATTCCCTAAAATTAAGTAATCAAGACATTACAATCATTAGATGCTGAAGCTGATCTAAAATCCTCAGGATGGTTTCTTAAAAGGTGCCTTTATACAGGTTTCAGACACAGTCTGTTTCTTTCTTCCTTCCTGTGCATCAAATGTGAGATGTGCAGTACTTGTACAAGAGATGTGGTGAAGCGCACCACATAAAACAATCCTTTTAAAAGCATCAGTACGAGGATCTGCAGTAATTTAGCCAACAGCAACTAATTCCAACTGTAATCAATAGAACTAAAGCTGTCTCATTCAGAGCTAGAATCCACATTACGTACAGGGACACAGATGAAAAGAGTTGAATCCACTAGAGTATAACTTATGCAAAATTGACAGAGACAAAAATGTTGTGCCTTTTTTAATACTGCATACATAAAGAGGACAGTTTTCCACTTTTTCTGAAAATAATTGTGTTTTATGCTGAAAATAGGTAAGCTATTTCAAATAAAACATGTAAGTATGTTTACAATAGCTGAGAGGTGCACATAGCCAGCATAATACAGTGAATTTCACTTAATAAGATCTGGGATACAACTGCATGCCACTGACTCTGTGTTGATAATGTCACATGTAAGCTTCATGCTTAGAAGCTTTATCTGTCTATTTATTTATTTACAGTAAAGAAATAAGAAGTGGTCAAAATTGAATCCATTCTTTATTCCCATCTGCAAACCAAACCATTGTGCTTCTGTTTCCATAGTGATGAACTTATGATTATTCTTTCAAACAACCAGCACTTGTTCTTAAAAAAAAAAAAAGAAAAGAAACATGGCAGAACAACAAATCCTGAATAGACTATCAGCAGCAACTAACCAAGCGTAGCTCAACCCAACCACAACTCCACCCAATAACAATCAAGCAATGCCTTACAAAATCATTTGTAACTGTCAAATGTTATATATCTTTGCATTTGCCAGATGCTTTTATCCAAAGTCACAACCTTGCTGTTGCTGGCACCATGCTCTGCCAGCTGTGTGTTTTGAATCCTTTCCATTTTTGCTAATGTTTTATACAGCTTTTCATGAAGAACACTCACATCATAGCCACTGTTACGGATCCCCTTTCTGGGTCTCTCTCTCATGACCAGAAGATCCATCTCTGTTCCTCCAGGACTGGGACTGTTTAGAGACTGTCTGCTACGATGTGTGGGGTGACTCACCTGAGAGGGTCTGAAACCATCACACACACACACACACACACACAGAAAGAGAGAGAGAGATACAGAGTTTAGAACAGTAACATCAGTAACATCTGAACATGTAAACGGGACTATGTATGTATGTGTCTATGTATGAGTCTGCCATGTTCACTGAAATAGATTATGGCAATATAAGTAATTTATTGTGCTGCACTCTAGAATGAGTATATTCCTCCATGCTGCATATGCAGTCATCAGAAAAGGAACGCTGTTTCAGAGAAAGAGTAAGTTACATTTTGATTACATTTTAGATTATGAAGACATTTTTTTTTATTTTGAATAAAAGAAATGATAATCCATTCACAGTAAGACCATGAACATGTGTTAAGTATATAGGTTTATTTCTGATAAAAAAAATAAAAAAAAAAACATATGAAGGTGAAGACATTATGACAGAACTATACATTGTTTAGAGAATATATAAATAACTATTTATTGTTTAATAAAACAAACTGACAAAACGCCATGTCTCCATGATGCACTGGTGTCAAGATATGGCAGGGGTCCTCAGAATACTGCCCAAGAGTTGGTGTCTTAATCTATTTTTGCTTAAATGTTTTATCATATCGCAGTTAAACCTGTCATCGCAACAGCAATCGCATGCCATTTTTGGCCAGATAATGCAGCTGTAGTGTGATGGATTTACAATTACATAAAATATGACATTTTTCTAACAAAAAAAAAATTCAAACATTACAACAGATACATTTTTAAGATCTTCACACTAAACAGAAAATCTCTGCTCTGAGAAAAGTCATCTGGGAGTTGATAAGAAATACTTTAATAAGCACAAAGATTGAGCCGCTGTGTGGGCAACTTCATCAGATTTCATCATTCTGAGTCCTGCGTCAAAGCTATGAGCCAGTTAGACAGCAGATCACAGTAAAGCAGAGGTTAGCACTTTCACACAGAAAACACACCAAAAATAACACGCTTAACTATAAGGGGTCACTGGAGATGTCAAAGTTTCAATAAATGTCGTCAGCAGTTTTAAAAATACATAAAGCACCTTAAAGGACCTTTCAAAATGCTCAGTAAGACTGATTTAAATCATCAGTGTTCTTTCAGAGGGGTTGACTTTTTAAAAGAAATTGATAGATAATTTTGAGTGAAAATAGAATAGAATAGAATAGAAATTTTGGCACAAGTTTCTGGCACCTCACATTTAACCAAACTACTGTACAACATTGTTAAAATACTACATTAATAAACAATATATTAGTTTTTTGTGATATATCTGTCACATATTAATGAAGTGATAATGATTGTACTTGTGCCATTGTACTTGTTAAAGCCATTATGTAAATATCAGTCAATATTACACAAATACTAATTAGAATTTTATTGTTTTATTATTTATTTATTTATTTTTTGCACTGTGGAGAAGTGTCAGCAAATGAAAATGAAAGCTAAAGATACCACTGTGGGACACTTTGCTTTTCTTATAGGCTTTAAGTGAAACAACTTTCCCAAAGGCCTTCATATTAAAACCAAGAGAATTTCTTCTCCAAGGCATCTGAATGAATCATTGGGGTTAGATTTTAAGCCATGCCAGTAGTCTCCAGTAACTGAGGCTTAATCAAATGGAAAGATGAAAGCCGCAGCAAGATACGCTCTCCTTCTTTAAACAATGAGCAGAAAATCACACAAGATTTGACAGAGTGCCAATGGATCTAAAAAGGAAATTAAATATTTAAACTGAGACAAAACTCAAAAGCAAGGGCATTTCGGTCAGCTAATGAGACCGGGCAAAGGATGTACTGGATATCTGATTCAGTCATGTCTGTGACAGCAGCTTTTGTGTCTACTTCTGAACTCCTGGGGAAAGAACAACAGACATTTCTGAGCACACAGTGTTTTCATCATCAAGGTTCATGATTGCTAACAGCTAGTCGACAAAGCTCACTGCATATTGATTATACTCGTCATTTGCCAAATGTCCCTGTTTTAGAGAAAGCCACCCACATAGTACAACTACTGTATATTATTTAGCTGAGGCAATATAAATTGTTAAAGCCATTTCAAATTTCAGATGATAATTTAAACTTTAAGACTGCCTTATAATAGAATAGCAGAACACATTATACATTAGTATTATTTTTGGTGTGTTTTTGAACAAGATGAGAAAAGGGGGAGACTTGATAGTGTTTAATGTTCAATTATATTTGTGAGCTATTTCAGTTAACCTCGGTTACCACTGTGATCAAGAGTAGAGCTTTTGCTTAGGCTGAGAAGAGGAGTGTTGCCAAGTCGGCGGTTTTCCCACGGAATTGGGATACTTTAACTAACTGCTGTCAAGTTGGCCATTTTAAGGGCTGTCTCAATCACAAAATTCTTCCGGTGCATTGAAAGGTTCGCTCCCTGAAAAATCCCACAATGCTCCACAAACACCAGAGTGCATTGATGTTCAGTTACATCACATTTCTGAAGCATGAAACACATTACAAACATCCTTTTTTTAATTGTATTATTAATTAATTAATGATCTGATATTTTTTTTTATCTAATGTAAAGATATTCAGTCATTTTAAGTATGTCTTAAGTATCCAAACACGTTTGGGACCATAGTAGATTAATAGATTAACAAATGACACTATGACCTTCATCATCAGGTATAATTTGTGCAGATCAATAAATCTGAGAGACAGTGTCACAATAAGCATTAAAGCATGCATAAAAACAACCATATCTTGTTAAACACACATTTCCATTCAAGCTAAATCCCTTACCTCCTGTGATACTTTACATACGTGGATCCCCTGTCGTCCTCCAGTTCCTGAGCACTGTTCTGTGGGTGTGGAGGCCTGTCGTGGCTGTACTTGTGTCGCTGACTTAGGTCTTTAGTGCTACCTTTCCCCTCAGCAGAAGGGAAGTCATAATATCCCTTCCTTTTGGCCTTCAGTCTAAGCTTATTCCTGTAGTGCTCAATGTCTGACTTCTGTTTCAGAGCCAAATTCACCTGTATACACATAGAGAGAAAGAGAATGGGGATTGGCCAATCATTCACTAAAAAAAAAAAAATTGCATGCATTAAAAATGTGGCTCAAATTGATTTCCCATAGGTAAAGTGATATTCTAAAATAAATCTGTGCCAGGTCTCTTTGAAGCCCAAATTTGACTAAATTAAGCAAGAGTACCCATTGAAATATGCTTATATACAGTGTATATATATATATATATATATATGTCTGTCTGTCTGTCTATCTCCTTGCAAAAGCATCCAAGCAGCCTGGTAGCCTGTAGACATAACTTTGTTTCCTTGCTGTATAAAACTGTATAAAACCTGTGCACCCTGATTTTTCAGAAGTTGCATAACAGTCAGCCAATCATCATTGAAGTGGCAATTTTGCAGTCATCAGTGCCCTTTTTTATAATGTAAATGTAAATGTGATGAATATGAAATGAATAATGTGATGTAAAATGCATCAGAAGGTCAGTAAAAGGACTTTGGTCAGTGGTTGCCATCTGAAGCTGTCTCTAATAAAATCAAGTCTTACTTCTCCATTGAATACAGCAGAGTCCTGGCTGCGGTCGGAGGATGCAGGGCGCGAGTAGGTGGGTGGAGCTGCGATTGGTTTTATAGAAATAAGCTGAAGTGATCCTGAGGAACTATCATAATGATCTGCCAAAAACAAAAACACATACACTTTAATGTCAGCAACAAGAAACTTAATCTGATTATTCATGCAGAATATAGACAAATCCACTTCCTTATTATGTGACAGCAATACTGGCCAACATTATCACTTCTGTAGAAGATTAATTTTCTTAGCTCTCATTTCCTATTTAATGTGGAAAAAGTCTGATCCTAAGATTTCAGCATATCTTTTGATTTTAATTAACTCTGTCCGTTTATCAAGACAGATTAGGTCTGTCCACTTCTGAGAGAATATATCTAAATATGGAAATGGAAAAATTATAGGATAAGCAAAACTGTACATTTTTTCCTAACCATAAAGAATTAGACTCTATGTGACAGAATGTAACAAGTTTCTTACTGCCCATTTCTTTTAAAGTAATAGTTCACCACCCAAAAATGTAAATTCTAACATTACTCACTGCTGTTATTTCTTCTGTGGAATATATAAAGGAGAACTGAATGGATCTTAATGAGGCTTTTTACATATCACAACAGTTCACAGTGGCCACATCTATCAAGCTCCGAAAAACACCAAAAAGCACCATAAATGTAGTCCATATAAGTGACATAATTTAAATTTTTGAGAAAACAATTGTTTTAAACTTGGAAAATGAAAGGTTTTCAAACTGAAATGTGTTGGTAATCTATACCTTCTCTACCAATCTCAATCTTTTTTTTTTTTTAAATAAAGGCCAATGAGATCCAATGCTGGTTGGGCCCCAACGTTCTTTTTTTGTATTCCATGTAAGAAAAAAAAAATGCATAGAGGTTTGGAATTACTTGAGGTTGAGTAAATGATGACATTTTTTTGTTTTGTTATTATTATTATTATTTAGATACTTTTTGAGACAAATTTGAACAATTGAACAATCTGTTCTGGCACACATCATCTCTCCACAGACTCAAGTTCCATCTGACAAAAGTCAGATGCAGCATATGCAAACAGGACCTGAACATATTGGCATCTTATGTTGTTATTGTGAGGGTTGTGCTTATTACAGTACATGTATGTGTAGTGTTGAGGGTTGTATATTGGCAAGTCTGTGTTATCCAGACCAGTATGACCTCTGCAAAGCAAAAGGTTATAAAATAATACATGTAGGTTTCAATGGGTGTGCCTTTATCTCTGTCTGTCAGCATGCCTTTTGGGATGCATGTGTCTGCAAAAAATGTGCGTGTGACCCTGTTGCTCCTCTGTGATGCTGGTAGTCACAGTGACAGAGCAGATCATGTCAGATGAGAAGGTTTCATTAACATTCATGAACTCGATCACTATTTTCCTTCTGAGGATGGTCATCTGGTAAAAAGGGCCTTAGTTAAAAACTAATTTTCAATGCAGGGAGACACCATACAACCTCACACTGCACCCAAACACACACTTACTTTAGAAGCTAGTGAGGACTTTTTATATGCTTCCATTAAGGTCCAGCTCATAAGACGTTATTCGATAGGTTTCACTACATTAGTGAATACATTTTATTCTGTCCCTCAGAGTGAGAAAGGAACAACTGGTAACATAACTGACTCCGTAAAGAAATACACAGAAAATGCCAGCCAATATGTTGTTGACAATGTTACTTTAGCAGTTTTGTTCATTATACTTCTGGTCGTAATTTGACATGAAATTAACAGTGTCATTAAAGAGCACTGGAATAAAATATGTGATGTATAAAGGTAAATATCACTTATGTGTGTTTTGTTAAATTCGTAAATTATGCAATAATTTAGAAAATTGTATTTAATTGTACGTATTTAGGATGCATATAATCAGTAGCATCTAGTGACTATAAATGTAGGTAGAGCTGATTCTGGGTCATAGCAGTCACACTTTAAATTAGGTATCTTTAACTACTATATACTTATGTAAAAAAATACAATTTGTTTGGTACAATGTACTTATTTTGTTCATGTTGTATTGCAAATAGTTACTGAGGTGGGGTACAGTTAAAGTCAGAGACAGGTTTGGTGGGTTAAGGGGTAAATGTAGGGTCATAGGTGTAATTATAGATGTAATCACAGAAACTAACTGCAGATGTAATTACATGCAGGTATTTTAGAATATACAGTATATACAATGTAAAAACATGTACGTTCACAATAAGTTCACCGTATCAAATGATTAATTTAAATCTCAGTACATAGTAGTTTAAGACACTTCATATAAAGTCCTCTTAAGTTATATAATTAATACATATTTATGATTAACCACTCGTAAGCTGAACACATGTAGATGCACTTTTGGCAACCCTTACGAAAAAGAAGTTTATTCAAGTGTGCTATTAGTATACTTCTTTTAAACTAAAAATAGGAAAGTATACTTTTAGTGTACTTTTTCTGTACATCTCAGAAAGGGGCTTTATGTTCTTCTCAGAAATATACTTAAAATGACATTTAAGTATACTTGACTTATACTTAGAAAAAGTCTAAATATATTTGAGCTACTGTATACTTGTGCTCCTAAAATCCGTGTTTTCATTGTTAAACGGTAGGGGGCGCAAGTACACATCTTCTGTACAGAATTTCCAAAAAACACAAGTGAAGAAGAAACCGAAACAACAGATGCTTCCACATGTAATCTAACACGATCATCAGACATAAAACAGCATCAAAACTGTGTAACGTAATGGAATAAAATGTCGACCAATGAAGCGGTACTAATGACTGTCAAGCTTTGGGGTGTTGATCGACTCTCTCTACGTTTTGATTATCATTCTGAATCCAATTCATAGTCTTTTTTTTCAGCTTTTTGTTCAAAATGTTGTTTATTTCTTTATTTTTTATTAAACTTACCACATTCAAGTGTTTGTTAATAAAATAAACTTGAAGTATACTACTTTTTGGTAAGGGAATGTTTAGTGTGCTTGCATCATTTAGCCTGAGGGTGGTGCTCTAATGTTGATTGACAGGCTCCAAGAACACATGCATGTTACCTTAAAATTAACATGAATTTAATGTTGCATTTACTGTGTTTGAATGTTGATTTAGAATGCTGCGAGTTCTGGAGGAAATCAGGAGAGGAAAAGAAAGCCATGTCGATTCTCAGAACAAACACAACAGCACTTACAGGCTATTCAAATGAGCACGTTTAAACTAAAAGATGTATACTCTAACTTATTTGGTACACTCCTCTACACATCCCCCTGCACCTGTTAAAGATGAACAGATGTGTTCACAATCTGACTTATTAGTTGCTGAATTAATGCAGACTGATATACACACGTTGTTGATGTGGATGGATTGTTCCATAAGGTTTATGTAAGATAATGTAAAAACAAGTGGGGCAGATTGATTTTTGCCCCTATTAATCTAAATTAGGGCACACTGCATTTCCATTTTTCACCAGAGATTTACATTTGAAAATTGTTGGGCGATGTTGAACTCAGGAGGCAAAGGCACCTGCTGCCCCTTTTAGAATGATAGCATAGCCTACCTTCCTACTAAATATGTTACATTTAATATATATTGTTTTTTTATAGATTTAATACAAAATATGTACTATTTAATTGCTTTAAAGTGCTAAACGTTTTGCAATATAGCAAATATATGTGTAAAATAAAGTTTAAGAGCCCAGGACCAAAATGCCCATGGCAGAAGAAACACTGAAGTATATTTTTAAATTAACATTTGCTCACTTTGCCCACCATCAAGGATTTATTCTTTCCAAAGAGCTTGGTGCAAAGTATTGTGACATACATTGCTCTACAATGGACAATGATATTTTTGGAGAGTTAGCACCAGGCACGTGCACATATAGACATCAAAGGGGGCTTGAGCACCTGCCCTATTTCTTCCTCAAGAGAAAGAGCCCTTTTTTCTGGGGAGTTTTTTTTATTATAAATGAATATATGTATATATGTGTGTGCGTGTTTCTGTTTGCGCACAGCTTTCCCTGTCAAACAAATAAAAGCAAAATCAAAATATCAGGTTGGGTCAGGTCAGGAAATGTTGAGACTCTGTCGAGTTCCAATGCCTTTCTCCCCTCCGCGCAGGCATGCAGCACAGCAGTATAGCACACAGGCACGTGCACACATAGACATCAAAGGGGGATTGAGCAAAAGCCCTTTTTCTTCCTCAAGAGAAAGTGCCCTTTTTTCTGGGGAGTGTTTTTTTATTTTTTATAAATTAATATATGTATATACAGTATGTGCTCGTGTGTGTGTTTCTGTTTGCGCACAGCTTTCCCCGTCAAACTAATAAAAAATCAAAATATCAGGTTGGGTCGGGAAATGTTGAGACTCTGTCGAGTTCCGATACCTTTCTCCCCTCCGCGTCTCCGCGTAGCACAGCAGTGTAGTGCACATTGATCGGCACATGCACATCACAGACAGGCAGAGAGCGCAGAGCAAATCGTTGCAAAGCAACTTTACAGTTAGAAAAGAGTGTTGAGGCCATTTACATAGAATACTGCTTTTCCATTGTTTTTTTTTTATGTAAACATGCACAAGATGGATGTTTTTGAACATTGTGCTCATTTCTAGTGTCTTTTGCAACGTTTTTCATATAACATGGATTTCTGAAAACAGCACAAGGTAAAAGTTGCTCAGGATTTTAAAATGCGTCTCTAGTCCTTGCGGGGTTTTTTTTATCTCAGGTTCTGCATCTCAGGTTTTCAACAGAACACATACTGTGAATTGTCCCTTACTATGCCAGAGCCCAGTGAAGGTGAGAGTTTCTACAAAAAATGTGCCTCTTCGTGGAGACACCACAAGACATTGTTCACTCACAGATCACAGACTTCCAGAGTGAACGCCCAGTCCTGTTCTATCTTCAAGCCTCAGTGCCTTGAACTTGATGTGGGCAGAAACTGGCAGCAAATAGGGTAAGACAACAAGAGGTGCAATGTGGGCTCCGCCGCCTAAATCCGTTTCCTTGTATCAGCTATTGATCCAAACACATTTATGTAGAAATGTTATTGTGCTGACATCCTGCCGACAATGCTAAAAATGTTAGATCAGATGGCAGGAATATTGGATTCATCTTTCAGTCTCTCCAGATCCTATTAGAAGACATCCGTTAGGTACCTAAAACTGTCAGCAAAGTTTTGTCTGATACCCCACAGACATTGTTAACCAGTTAACAATTCTTGTCTGCTATCCAAAATCAGCTAATAACACTGTGAAGAGTTGAGAGGAGTTGTCGCCTGAGAGGAGACAAAGTGATGATTATCAAAACGTGAGCAGTAACCCATTATTGAACAATCTTAGTTGCATATTTCCTCTGACCAGTACAAATCCAACAAGTTTTATCATACCAACCAAAAGCAATGGAAGATTATTGCTTCAACATCATCCTTACCAGGCACATGCACACATAGATATCAAAGGGGGCTTGAGCACTTGCCCTTTTTCTTCCTTGAGAGAAAGTGCCCTTTTTTCTGGGGAGTGTTTTTTTAAATAAATTAATATATGTATATGTGCACGTGTGTTTCTGTTTGCTCACAGCTTTCCCTGTCAAACAAATAAAAAAATCTAAATATCAGGTCGGGTCGGGAAATATTGAGACTCTGTCGAGTTCCGATGCCTTTCTCCCCTCTGCGTAGCACAGCAGTGTAGCACACATTGATCGGCACATGCACATCACAGACAGGCAGAGAGCGCAGAAGTGTAGTCCTCCCTCCCTTTCCAGTTGTGTTTGTCTTGCTGTGGAGGTGATTGGTGATGAACAAAAGACTAAGCTACCTGTGCCTCGAATTTACAGCTAATTATCCAAAAAAACAAAAGGCAATTATAGTTAAATTGTTTTGCTAACATCCATGACTCAAGAGAGCGACCATGTAAATTAGCTAAAGTGTTGCTAAGGCAATAGGAAGTCTAGTAGGTTAGACCAGTGCGCATTCTTTCACTGCATGATTCAGTTTATTAAAATGCATTTAGAATGATCACAAAATTCAAGATATGGGGGCAGAAATGTATATATGTATATAATTTCATATAGTTAATCAGTATCACACAAAGACTGACGTTTTTTTCCACCAAAAAGCAGCATGGTTACAAGTCTCAGTTAGCTTAATGCAGTACACGTAGAAAGGTTTTTTTAAATCATATAATAAAAAGAAAACAGATAGAATAGAAAAGAATAGAGCAAGCTAGTGTTAGAGGCCTTTTTTTTGCAATAAATAAAATGAAAACAGATAGAATACAAAAAGATTAGAAAGCTAGTGTTAGGATGGCACAATAAAGCGACGTTCACTTGCAGAACGCAAGCTTCTAGAGGGCACATAAGTCTGAAGTAATGAATTT